GAACCCATGAACAATCTGAGGATAAGTTTAAGTTAGCCTTTACTTCCTTTTACTCAAGTCTGCTAACTTTAAAGTCAGCAACTCTTAGCCCCCAAATTGATGTGTTTGGTGGGTCGAATTGAAAACCGAGAGGAAAATTTCACCTTCCTTAAGTGAAGAGGGTGATGGTGGCATAAAGAGGTGGCAACAGGAAACTTAAGTGGATTTGAACAGAATGGAACAAAAACAAAGATGCCAAGTAACTGGGAAGGAATGAAAAACCCTTTCTCTGAATCAATTAGTTGAAGCTAGGTGGCCTTAGTTCATAGGCTGCTTCCCATCTGGAAGCTGATTGCTATGTGCGTCTGAAGGAAAAGAACTGAAAATCTCTTGATTGTATTAAAGTGTAACAATAAATCTCACCATGCAGTGGAAGCTACAATATAAGGAATAATAAAAGTAAATGTTATGGCACTTAACTTCATGGCCTATAATCTCCCATTCAATCAGAACAGAGATTCTTCCCTCACCAAGAGAGAACTGGACAATTTAATTTGTGTTTCTATTCATGCACAGGCCTGTGCTGGAGCTCTTCCATATCTTCTATTATGCTACTTGAAAAATGGCTGCATAGTTTGATACAAACAATATCTCAATCTGACATCAACAGCTTAGTTTTGAACCAATTGATTTCATTCTAAATTATCGTTGGCTGACAGATGCTGAGAGCTGCCCACACAAGATCTGAAAAAGCCATGTTCTCTAATTTAATATTATAATAATTTTAAATTACAGTTTTATTAAGAGGAAACACAGATTTATTTATAGAGAACACTGATGGTTTCTAATGATGTTCAGGGCTGTATTATGCTATTCACTGCAGCCTACATTCGGATAGCTTCAATTGTCTGAATCACTAACAAAAATATTCTGGTACAAATAGTGCCCTCCTTGATTCAAAGCAATGGAATCCTACAAAAGCAGCGCTGGAAAGAGCCACCCTCGCTGAAATATTCGTTTCTCCTTGACCAATCCACCTGCAAATGACATTTATGCCTTTGGGGTTAAAGGTATTCTGCTTTAAAAAGTCTCCTTTTCCTTTGGCTTCTGTGAAGTTGCAAGATCTTTTATTTTTCTTCTTGAATGTGGCTTTTGTGGGGGTTTGGTATTCACCCAAAGGTGCATCTTAACCTTTTTAAATCTCTTTGTGCTGTGTCAGGGTAATATGTGTATGTGTGTGTGTATTGTGTGTGTACATGCACACGCACTTGAGTATTCAGTGTACTCAAATTACATGTCTTGGTGCACATGTGAAGGTCAGAGGACAACTTTGGATGTTGGTCCTCACCTTCTACCTTGTTTGAGACAGGGTCTCTTGTAGATCTCCACTGTATCTATGAGAGCAGCTATTTTCACTTCCCATCTTGTTAGGAAGGATTGTAGACGCTTGCTACTATGTCCATCATATGGGTTCACTCAAGTCTTTACCCAGAGACATTTCTCCAGGACCTCCTTTATATCTTTTTCATCTCTCTGTTTTATTTCTGGTAAATTTAGACTTTATCTTCCTAACCCAGATGACCCTCTAAGCAAACAATATTAATATAAACATTTCGATCTTTTTGCAGTCCACCATGTATTTTGCTATAGTCCTGGAACACAAGGTAAGGAAGTCAATGGAGATGTTAAGTAAGTAAGTAAATAAGTAAGTAAGTAAGTGAAGCCACCCAGGCCAGAAGCAATAGATCCAACAGTCCAATTCAGGCTTCTAGCCACCAATCCTATATTCTCCTCTTAACATCTACCCCCAATCCCTGCCTGTCTCTAAATCCTTGAGCCTTCACTTGCAGACCCCATCCAGCACTGACAAGGGGTATCTGAACAAATATTTAAGTCAGTATGCTTAACTAAGCCCATCTAACTTATTGGCATCTAGCTTTCCTTTATTTGATTAGTCCCATAAAGCTCTTCAGCATTTTGTATACAAATTTTGAGGTTTGATACATCACTTCAATGTTACCATCAATGGCTTCCAATTATAAATCAACCCCTTTAAACTCAGTTTGATCTCTACTTACAAATCCAAGTCACTTTCTCTCCTCAGCACGAACTTCCTATTGCAGCCAGGCTGGTCTATCTATGCCAAGATTTCAGAATTTCTTCATGTGGTTTCCCTACCTTTTCCCATTTCTGCCTAAGCAAATCCAAGATACAGCTAAGTCTGTGCTCTTTTGTGGAGCATGTCCCAGCACTCTGGCACTTAGGAACATTCTGATCAGTATTATGTCATACTAGTTAGTTGTACCATCCTCACACTACAAGGGTCATTTGTTATCCTGTATCTTATGAATCCATAGAAGCAGACCTGTGTGTGTGGGTCTTTGGGTAGTAGATACTCCAGGATTTCCTGGTTAGTAGCATAGCTGCTCATCAGCACTTCTTGAATTTCAAATAATCTACACATTAGATTGTTAACTTGTACAATGTTGGTCTTCTGGGATTAATGTCTCCTTGGCAAATTGAAAAATACTCAGCACCATCTTTCTTTGTTCCCAAATACATATAACTGGGACTTAGTTTCCACAGTATGAAAAGTGTTTGGAGGAATTCTTCTCCCATCAATGCCACCAGTATTTCCAAACTAGTTGGTCAGACTAGAAAACATGCTGCTCATACTTTGGCAATAGCCATTTTAGACAACTCCAGACCCAAAGAAAACAAGAGTCAAAGGCTCTTAGAAAAGCAAGACACATAGCACTATGTATTCTAAAGATAGAAAAACACCTCCCTTTCCTGTGTGAGATCCTACCCATGCCCTTTACCAGTATTTCACCTACTAGTTGCTCTGGCTGAAAACAGGCTGAATACCAAACCACAGTGGGAGAACTGTAACTTAATCTAGCTATTCAACTAGACATTCACTACTCTGCTCAATCAAAACTTGTAGCTGGCCAGTTTCAACTGTCAGGTTATGCTTCATGACAGAGTCTCAAAAGCTGGCTGAGGGTATAAACTAGCTCCTGGGAGCAGCACAAGCATTTTTGGTATTTACAGTCACAACCAAGTACCCTGCACACAAGGGTCTCACAAGGTCATGCCAGAGACTCCAGGTCAGCAGTTTGCAAAGATGTTATTCTATTAGCAGATTCAGAAGAAAACGCTATCCAACCTTGGGGGTCATATCAGGCAGAGCAGAAGACTGCTCATGCCAAGCATTCTGCTTGCTTATAAGGTCTATAAACCGTTGGGCATTTGTTTCTAAGTTAAGTGGTCAATACAGATGATTCTGGAAATCCATTTGTCAAATCAACCCCACTAGTAACTGCCAGATGTTGGGGATGAGTGGATTGGAGGAAGGTAGGCATGGTTAGAAATGAGTAACACAGCCTGACATTGTGGTAGATGCCTGCAATCCTAGAATTTGGGGGATGAAGGCAGGAGCTTGTTGAGTTTGACACCAGTCTGAACTATATATTGCAGTAAGTTCTAGGCTGCCCTATTGTGCTGATTAGCTTTAATTGTCAATTTGACAGAATTTAGAATCTTCCTAGGAAGAGTGTCTCAATGAGGGATTGTTTAGATCAGGTTGTCTTGTGGGCATGTCTGTGGGGTATTATCTTATTTATACTAATAGAGGTAGCAAAACTCACCCACTCACCCACTGTGGGTGGCACTAATCCCTAGGCAGGAGTTCCTGAACTGTATTATCATGGAGAATACAAGAATACAAGTATGCACACGTTTATTTTCTCTGCTCTTGATAATTGATATGATTAGCTGCTTTGTGCTCCTTGCTGCCTTGGCTTCTCCAAAATGATGGACTACAGCCTAGCATTGTGACCTAAAACAAAACCGTTCTGCCTTAAGTTGCTTTTTTTATGCCAGGGTATTTTATTATAGCAACTGGAAACTAGGATACCTGGGCTATATAAGGAGACCCAGCCAAAAAAGAAAACAAAAACAAAAAAATGCTGAAACCAAACCAAACAAACAACAATAGCCAAAACAAAACAAAAACAGAGTAAAGAAAATGGAAGTGTACAACATGAGGAATATTGGTACTGATAGATATGTTACAAACCTTGAATGTCAGCAAACATGAGCAAAATAAAATTGTAGAGAAACTTATACATACACAGATACCAGTAAAACTGAGCAAATCTTAATATGAGTAATGAGATGCAACACATCAATGTCAGTATAGCACTAAAGATTTGAGAGGTGTTATGAGATGTGGAGAAGGAAAATATGTATCATTTCTAAAGCCTGTCTGTGAATATATAATGAACTCACAAGCAAACATTAATTAAAATAAGGGCAATTTCAAAATGTAGCCTTCTAAAATAGAATACTATCTTATGACAATGGGTACAAATAAAAAGATGCTTCACTTAAACAAAAAAAGAAAAAAAGACCTGGACTTGAGACTTGGCATCCTAAAAGGGTTGTGACCCAGGTCACACTGCCAGTCACCTCACATCCATCCAGATATAGCCCCCAAAGACTTTGACTTTTGTTTACTCAGAGTGACCTTAGCCCCTTCCCATTTATCACAGTGTTGGTTTGACCTTGGGGAAGTAAGCTCCTCAGGTTTGTGCTAAGTGGCAATTACCATACACAAAAAAGCTCATTTTTAACCTCAAAGTCAAATTACTTAAAGCCACTTCTACAGTGAACCCTGACATTTTGCATTTGCACCCTTTTCTAGGCTGGATAAACATGAACTACATAAGTGCCTACTTCTACAAAAATGTTCATTCATCATTTCTCTTCACTAAAACTTACAAGGAATTTTGTTAAGCCCAGGGAGGCTAAAATCCCCACACATAATGTCTTCAGGTAGAAATCACAATCACTTACTTTCCTTGTAAAACAGGGACATCTTAAAAACACAGCAAAGGCTGACAGCCTAGCATTTCAGTGGTTATGACAAAGCCCATCTCGTTGCTTGAAGAGGCAAGGTAGGCCCTGCAGTTGTTTCCTAACTCGGCGAAAAGAAGCAAAACATTGTCTTCACTCACCAATGTCATTGCTGCGGTCTGAGAGGTCCTTGTCCAGGATGCCAGAGAGTGTACTGCCCGCCAAGTCAATCTTTGGACCGTCACCCCTACATTAAAAACACAAGTCCAGATATTTAATTATCAGTGTGTCCTTGTTATTCTGTGCCCATTCTTGCTGCACACACGGAGGGTGCTGTGTGTGTGTGGTGTGAATGGCACTGTTACCTGTAAAAGGAGCCAAAGGAAAGTAGTGAGAGCCAATGAGCTGTTCAGCCACGTGGGCTGTGGTAGAAACTGGCCAGCAGACTGGATGTCCCTCTGTTCTGTACATATTTTCTAAGATGGCTATTTTAATAATGACCCTTTGCCAATGCACTTCTAGCCACAAACCCTCCTGCTGTCTCCACAGGAAGCAACACAGGCCTGTTCCCGCCCCATGGCCAAATAAGCACTGTCTAACTGGCGGCTTCCCTTTTAAGGAACACAGAATTTAGCCAATGCTTCTTCTTGTCAAAGGTCAGCTACTTTTAACCTTGAGAAAACGGTTCTCTGGCCTGGGGCTGAGGCATTAGCCAGGCTGTTGACAGGCATAAGGTGTCAAGTTGAGATCTGGCAGCCTGAAGGCTGGCACTGGGGTACAAGTCTATAAAATTAGATAGCTTCTGAGTGGTCATGCCCTACCCCCACTCTATGCCTATTATGATGTGTGACTTCTCTCAGAATCTGGGCTGGAAGATGCCCACATGTGGGATGGGAATAAATCTCCAAGTTGAAGAAAGAAACGGTTTCTTTGTAGACTAAGCCTGAGATCCTCCATATCCCTCCAAAGAGACAGCTCTTTGGCTCTGTTAGGGAGATGAGGCCCAAATAAAGTTATCCAAGGGCTGATCCTTACCATGAAATGAGAGTGAAAGCTGAACAGTTGTTCCTATCAAAGCAATAGAAACTGCCCTCTCACAGCCTTTGCAAATTACCATGGCCTGAAGTCAAAATACATCAGGAACAGATTTACTTTCCGAAACATCTGTCCAATGCCTTCTCTGCTGGGAGTAAGGAGAGGGCCAAGGTGGGAAGTACCCACCCTGGAAAGGCCCATGATGTGAATGGGCCAGGCACATAGACTACCACAGGTCCACAAGGCATGATGCCTGCATGTCACAGTTCTGATTAGGGCAGGGGAATTTTTCAGGACACAGGAGACACGAAACATTACAGTTGGACCTTGCAGGAAATAAAAAGACATACCCAGAAGAGGCAGGACTCTGGGAAAATGGCTCAGTGAGTTAAAGCTCACAAGCACGAGGTTCTGAGTTCAAAATTTGCAAACTCACATAAAGCCAGGCCCAGTAGTACACATCTATAATTGCAATGATCCTAAGGTAAGATAAGAGGTTGATACAGAATCCCCCAGAAATCTGTGAGCCAGCTGAACTCAGCAAATACAGTGGTGGATGGCTTGTGGGAAGCATGAGAACAAGGTAGAAGGCAATGACTGACATCTGAGGTTGTTCTCTCTCTCTCTCTCTCTCTCTCTCTCTCTCTCTCTCTCTCACACACACACACACACACACACACACACACACACACACACACACACACACACACACCGTGAAAGAGAAAGGAAGAGAACAGGAGAAAAGGAGAAGAGTGTAGGATTGAGCAGAGGAGCAAGTGCACATGAAGGTGAATCCAAATGACCAAGGGTCCCAGGACTACAGCTTAAAGTCCCCGGAGAGAAACCAGAGGAGTCAAACTGACAAGATTAGCATGGGCAAGAATGTACTGGGCTATGTGTGTATGTTTGTGTGCGTGGGTGTGTGTATAAGTTTATAAATACAAGCTGCTGAGATCATTTAGTGTTGTTTATGTGTTTAGGGCTGAACTTTTGGGATTGGCTAACTTGTCAGGGTGCTTGTCCCTGAAGAGGACTGATTTACCTTCTCCCAGCAATCATTTTCCTCAAAACTTGGCTGTTTCAGAACACATGCCTTCAGGATGTATCTTGGTTACTGTCAATCTTGGAGCTGCTGTGTACTTGTCTGAGTTAACAGCAAGGAAGTTTCTTATCAAATGAGAGCCTATCTCAAGGGCTGGAGATGACTCCATTGCCCCTTATTGTGCTCAGTATATCTTGGTACTTACTCTTCTACTCTTAGTTCCCTATTACCATATGACTCAACTATTTTATTTTTATATGTATTTGTTTTTCTTTTGAATGTAGTGTTTTAGCCTTTTAGTTTAATATTTGTATGGGGCATGTATGCATTCATTTGAGTGGGTATATACTTTTGTGGTATGCATGCATGTGTGTACATGTGCCTGTGGAGGCCAGAGGCTGATATTGGGTACCTTCCTTGATCACCCTCTATTTAATTACTTATCTATCCATGAATTCACTCATTCATTTATTCGGAGACAGGGACCCACTATGTAGCCCTGGCTGGCCTCAAACTCACAGAGATCTCCTTGTCCTTGCCCCTCATAGGTTGGGATTAAAGGCATGTATCACCATGGCCAGCACCTCACATTGAACCTGGAGCTCACCAATTCAGCTAGACTCATTGAGCAATGAGCTCCATAGCAGTGGGGTTACAAATGCATACAGTAAAGCTCAAGTTTTACATGGGTGCTGGGGATCTGAACTCAGGTTCTCTTGCTTGCACTGCAAGTATTTTACTGAATAAACAATAATCCCAGTCTTTTAGCCTTTTATTTTTAAAAGTATTTTTTACAGAAAGCTGTAACATTTATTATCACATTAGTACCATTCAAAACCAGTAACAATTAAGGTATGACTGTAGGTATAGTCCCTATGATTGAATTGTTTTTTAAACAATTTTACATAAAACATATTTTGTCACATATTTCTGTTTTCCCCAACTCCTTCCATACCCTCCTTCTCTACCCAATAAACTTCATTTCAAAAACTGTTTAATTTTAACTTGGAGAAGAGGAAACTATGGCTCAAATATATAAAGAAACACTTCAATAAAATGAAAATAAACCATTTTACAGGTAAATAGTAATTGTTTATATTTATAAGTTGCAATGTGATGTTTCAATACACTTATCTATCATAAGCTAATCAAATCAGGTTAATTAGTATATCTATATATCTATATATCTATATATCTATATCTATATATCTATATCTATATCTATCTATATATATATATATCAATCACTTTAAGTATTTGCCATCCCTTTGTGGTAAAAAAAAAAAAGCGATCCTTTCTTTTAGTTGTTTTGAAATATATAACACATTATTATTGATTATAATCACCATGTTGTGTGGTGAATCACCAAGATTTATTCCTCTTATCTAACTAAAACTTTGTCCCCTTTGACCAATGTCACCCCAGCCCACCCAGTCCTCTAACAGTTGCTAGTAACCATTGTTCTACACATGATAGTGAGGGCAAACAGTATTTACCTCTTTGTTTCCAGTTTATTTCGTCTGCTATATATTGAAATTTTGAAAATTACCCAGATCTGTGGAATAGCACAGGGCAAAATTAACTGAGTTTTAAGAGTAGGATAAATATTTTAAGTGTTTCTATGCTTTTGATCCAGTTCTGAGCCATAGTTTGGGCTGTGTGAAAGATAAAGTCTGAAATAAATATGTTCCATGCATTTTTGTGTTGTTTACAATGTTGAAAACCTGAAAAAAAAAGCCAATAGACTATTTTACATCTAGGGAAACATTGAGTAAACCATGACATTGGATGGGCTTTTTAATGAGGCATTCAAATGGCACTTATAAACATGCTTATTCTGACAGGAATGAATGCTTATAGTACAATGTTAGAGAACAAAAGAAGGTCAACTGTGACATGCACAGTAATATGCATACACCTACCTACCTCCCTTATGTGTTAGGAAAAGGAATTCCTTTTTAAGACTAAAAGAATATTTATGGCAGTTATTCCTGGGAAGTCTGATCAGTGATTTTCATCACCCAGCTCAACGCCTAAAAAATACCTGTGGAATCCAGGAACACTGGCCAAATTTTCTGAAATGGGAATTCATTATACATTTGTAAAATAGATGCATTTTCTTCAAGTCATAACATTTTATGATCTTCTATATGATAGCAACTGTGCAAGATTGAAAAAAAAACAAGTTGAATCATACAGAGGAAAAATATGGGCAAGACATATTTTTTTAAAATTAGGAATAGTACCTGTCTCAGGAATAAGTTTATGGGGGATTTTTTCCTTCCATTTATTTTTAATGATTTATTTTACCTTATTTACATGTATGTGTGCTTATCTGTGTGAGTGTATACTACTCATGTGCAGGAACCCAAGGATACCATTTGATTCCCTGGAGGTGGAATTATAGGTAATTGTGAGTCATCTGACATGGATGCTGGGAACTGAGCTCAGGTCCTCTGGGAAAACAGCAAGTATTCATAACTGCTGAGACAGACCCCTTTTCTTATATTTACATTTTTCATTTATTATAGGGCTAGAGAGAAGACTCTGAATTTAAGAGCACTTGTTTCTCTTGCAGAGGACCTGGGTTTGGTTCCCAGCACCCACACACTGGCTCACAACCATTTGTGACTCCAGTTCCAGGGATCCAATGTTACCTCTTCTGGCTTCCACAAGTACCAGGTATACATTCAGTGCACACTGATACATGCAGGCAAAACATGCACACAAATAAAACAAAAATAAATCTCAAAGAAATGTAGTTCCCTTTACTGATAGTGATTAAAGAAGAGGGTGTTAGAGGCCCTGGAGATAGAGTGACAGGCAGTTCCGAGCTGTCTGACATGAGTGCTTGGATTTGAACTTAGGTCCTTTGGAGGAGCAGCAAGTGGTCTTAAAACAGTAAGCCAGCTCTCCAGGCCATGCAGAAGAGAATCTTGTCATGTCTTCCCTCCTTGTGCAATGCTTCTATCACTAATCAGCTAAATAAGTGCTGTTTACACTATTCAGCCTGTGATAGTTTGTTATGGTAGACTGGGCAAATTAATACAGCATTAAGGCTAAAGTCCTGAACACATTCTAACACAGCAGCCATCGATTGAGAACTTTTTCTCTAAAGGGCATTTAGGGTTCACAACTGCTACAAATATAGAACACCATACAATTAAAAA